ACAAATGGGCGACTTTGGATAAAGAGTAGAGTTAATTAATCTCATTAGTTTGGATTTAAAGATGCGCTACAGTTGTAATACACATGCATTTCATTTAATTGTGATTAGGGCTAATCTATCTGCTCAGATTAAAGACTTTACACACAATATCTATGAAAATAGAGGCTCTAATGATAGTTTGGGAATTGAAGGAGTCAGTATTTATTATTTATTTTGTTCCCGACCTAAAACCCTGTGTAGTTTGAAAGCCTTGTGCACTTCTAGGATAAAAAAGAAAATAATATTGGCCAGGACGAGAACTAATAATTGTTTTCTTCTTAAATAATCAGTTGTTACATCACTAAACAAACCTGCTAATGTAGCAGCTAACTGCCCAACTTAGTTTCATTCCTTGATAATTTTATCAGTAGTTAAATGTTATTTAAAGACATATTGTAATTCAGTGTTTCTGCCACTTTGGAGTTTGTGTTGGAATTGTTTGTCGATGTTAGTGGTCAGTACTGTTTCTAAGCTCACTGATTAATATTATTCATTTCCAATTTAAATGAACAAATAACACATTTAATTAATTGTTTGAAAACGTATTTAAGATTTTTTTTCATGTATTTTGTGTTAAATACATAAAAAAGCTAAATCAACGTTTTGGGATTTCTTTACCTGAATGATTGAGCATGCATCAAGACACATGAAAAATGCTTCACGTGGTTACACAGAGAAACTTTGAATGTGTGGTTTTATTTGATCAGCAGTCATCTGAAAAATACAAACATCTGTAAATAACAACCCTATAGGAAGGTTTATTATGACAAATGAGTGTGAGAAGAGATCTTAAAAACCATAAAATATTGAATTTAAATATATGAGTTTTAAAAAAAATGGCATGTTCTCCACACACTTTACCTTTTCAGCAGATCACACACCTGGCTGGAGCTCTGATACAAGATGCAAATCAGAAGGCTAAAGGAAAATAACATCCCAAGTCGTTATCGTTATTTTAAATGTGACTGTTGCTAATGAAGCATGGGCTGTATTTTTGTGCCTGTGACCTTTTAACAAGCAGGTTTTGTTGGCTGTCTGAGCTCTGATTATTCTTTCACAGACTATTTGACCTGCAAACAAGCCCAACAGTCTGGCACTGGTGATTTATGATATTATCTTTAGACTCACAAAGACAAGGCTGTAAAACAACCTCTGATTGTCCCCTAAAAGGCACACCAGTTGATTTAAAAGTGCTGAAGGAAGTAGGCTACTTAGCACTTTACAAGTAAATATTTGGCTTTTTTTCCATCTGTTGACCTGACACCTTGAACTGATTTGGAAACCTGCGTTAGAAAGGCTTTAGTGTCCGTTATTTCATCTTTCGCAAGTTTCTGCTTTGTTTAGCTTATGCAGTGGAATGGTTTGTTGTGTGCACTAAAGGCCCTCGCTCCCCTCTGCCCTCTCCACCAGGACCAGATGGTGTCTCTTTAGGCATTCTAATGAATATTGATATGAGGGGTCTTAGTTAACAAGAGGGGGGAGGGTGCATATGTTGGGCCAGGGACCCCCAAAACTGGCATGTAGTAAAGGTCTGTGGTGAGGGGAGTGGGTGTGCAGGGGATTTATAGCTGAAGAAAAGGAACGTTTGCAACTTGCAACAAAGCTCCTTTCTCATGCCCGTAAGCTCTCTCTTGTCTCATATTGGTAAGATATTAATATGGATTAGACAGTGATGAGACTGAATTAGTTGCCTGGTGATGTCATCCAGACACTTGAAGATGAGATGCAGAGCAAAGATGTGGTGCAAAGTGTGATATGGCATAAATGGGTAAGACAGAGAGATGGCAAAGGTGAGGCAAGTGGGAGCACGAGGTGAGGAGATGGACAGGTTAATCTGGTGGCAGAGTTAATCCTCTGACACAGCTCCCAGGTCTAAAGCTCCTCTATGTATTCCAGCCTGGGCTCACCACACTGAGGTTGAACCACTGCCAGCACCCCGGGCTGGGCAGTCTGACCCCGGGGCACTGGGGTGCAGATTTCTTTACGGGAGAAGCTCCACTTTTATTTTACCAGTGCCAGGATTCCTGTATGTGGAGGGATAGCAGGTGAATGATTGAAGGTAATTGCATTACTACCCTCCAGCTGGTGCAAGCCAGCTGTAGCCCCCTGCTGTGACCCTGTTATTGGGGGAAAACACCCATTCAGGGGGCAAGAGAATCAAAGTGCTGCATCTTCACCAGCAGGAAAGCAATCCCAGGATGCAGTACTGATCGTTTGTTTGGCACCGAATCCACATTAACTGAATTGTCCTGAAGCCGTGTTATATTTCATACCCTCTTCAGTTTGTCAGGAAACATTAGCAGGAACTCATCCGCAGACAGATGATGAACTGAGGCGCTGTCAGCTATTTATAACTCAAATTAGACCTTTGTTAGATATAAGGCTAAAGGGGCAGGCAGGAAGAAGGAAGAACTATAGAAAGATGTAAAGGAGTTGAGATTGGCAGAGACAAGCAGGGGAGTGAGGGTACTGGGAAAAAAGTGATGGAGGGAGACATAAGAGAATAAAACTGGAACGGCATAGCTTTTCATCGTGAGGACACAACCTTTACTGTCAAATAAAGCCCCTGTAGCCCTTAGATAATGAGACACAGTGTCAGACACATGCATACTGCTTAAGGCTTCCAGTAGGGATGTAGAAGCTTCACAACTTTAGATTATATCAGTGACCAAGCGGGTAGTTTTAGAATCTATGGTAGAATATGCAGAAATTAGCTCTCTTATATTGGAACATTTTTCATGGGTAGCTTTGTTTTAATTAGCATAAGGAAGCTTTAACTGGGTTTGCACTGGTGGAGTGTGTGCACAAAGCTCCACACGTGTCTGTCTATACTGAGTGAAGTGGGGGGCTGGTCGCCTCCTGAAAGCCAAACTTTGACAGCCGTCTTGCTGGCGGGAGGGGTTCATCATTTGACAATGGGGAGGGAATAGCAATGGAGGGAGCCTGTGTGAGCAAAACAGACACGAGAGAGAAAGAGCAGCAGGGGAAGGGAGGAGGGTATCAGACTCGGGGATAAGGCAGCTGGGCTGAAAGCAGATCTCATTGTGCGCTTGTCCTTCCCAAGTCCCTCCAACTCTCTGCAGAAGCACCTGCGATCACTGCTGTCGAGCTCTGCCTCCTCAGTCGAGGCATGCGGATCTCAATCGCAGGTCAAATTGACAGAAGGACGACTTGTTTGACTCTGTTTTGCTTTGCTCTGGCATTCTGAGTTTGGGTTTTGTTATGACGCTGGTGTAGGCATGGTTGTTTACTTGAGGAAGAGCATCCGCTCTCTGCTGTCCGTCTTCAAGAAAAAGGGTGAGTGCCGACTCACGTGGAGGCTGCAGTAAATCTCTTTAACTTTGCTGTGATTGATTGTTTAACCAAGCTTTTTATCATACTAAATATACCTTAAAAGCAAGTACTGTTTTTTTTTTTTTCATTTTAACTGACATCTACCTCAACAGTTCACAAACACAAACACACCGATGTGTAAGAATTAGTGTTGAAGGTAATTTGGAGGTCCTGTCTAATGAGATAAAGCTCTTTGCTGACTTTTTGGGGGGGAATCGTATTAATCAACCCAAATCCCTAAACCTCCTGCAGGGGTCTGGCAGAGTATCAGGGAGGGCTGCTTCTTCGGTTATTTGTTGCTACTGGTTAAAGTGTTACATATGTGAGTAATTGTCATGAGATGCTCACAGTTGTCAAGTGGAAGTTTATAGACTAAACTGAGTGTAGTCCATCCTAACTGGGAACCAGTGGGAGCGACAAAGGAAGGAAAAGGAACAACTCACGCTGACCCTTGCTCAGCTAAGATTTTAGCCAATTTGCATGACTGATTTCCCATGGAAATGACTTCCCAGTTCATACACAGTTGTGCAGATTTTCATGAATTTGGGGTTCAGAATCCTACATGTAGCACTGTGATGTAGCTGCCATCACTGTGGTTTACACAAGAAGGCAAGAAGCCCCAATTTTATCCCACATGCCAAAGACATGAATGTTTGGTCAGTTGATTCTACATTAGCTAAAGGTTTGTATTATTGCTTTTCTCTCTTTTTGTTTGCCTTGTGATGGACTGGCAACCTGTCCAGGGTGCCTCTTACCCAGTGTCAGCTGGGATCAGCTCCTTAGCTGTCATTTGACGTCGAGCAAAGCAGTCCTGCAGAGAGACAGAGCTCGGTCCAGTTCCCACACAGGAGGTCCTGCCAGCAGGGTTTCTTGCAGCATCCTTGCATGAGGACAGATTATCGGCAGTAATCCCTGTGGGGTTTACAAGGAAGCAAGATACTGCAGGAGATTAGCCAGGCCATAGTTTACTGCTGAGGGCCTGGCCAGACTGGGATGTCTGCACGCCAAACTTGGATGAGGAGACTTAATAAGTGTGCTGCATTAAAGGTGCGCTGACAAACACCCATTTTTATCAGGTGGAAGTGAAGCAAGTTCTCTGTCAAGTTGATAAATGTCTGTATTTATGCTAACACCATTGCTTTCATTGGGATAGTGCAAAGAGTTGATGTCTCACTATTGTTTTAAATCTGAATAATTCTGGATAAATGCTGTTGCCAAAATTAGTAGTTCTGATGTTAAAATATGTGTGAATAAAGGTTCTGTCACACAATAGGATTCCAAAACAAAATGTTCCGCTAAAACAAAATGGTAGGTACTCGATATAACTCCAGTTCTGTGAGTGTGTTGCCCCTGCTCTAACAGGCATAAACCGGTGGTTTTGTGCCTTTGTTGTTAGCTGTGCCATCCCATTGACCTTGCCCTTGCCCTTGAGCAGGACAGTGATGGGTAGACATCACAGTTGTTGCAAGACATGGTTGGAGTGCAAAAATCGTTTTTTATAATATACCTGGACGTTTCAGTGCACGTTACAAAATTAAGACCATTCTTTTTGGTGAATTTCAGGCATTTAAAGGTATAAAATACCAAATAGATTTGACCTTTACTATTTTTTCTTATTATATCAACAGCTGGTCCCAAGGTGAATGAAGACCAGAAGAGGTTGACAGTCCATTATACAGCCTCACAGCACTACCAGGAGAATGTTTTCATTGAGGGCAGCAGGCCTCAGTACTTGGAAGACCTGCACACTGAAGCTCAAGAGGGACTCAAGATACAACAGCAGGAAGGTAAGGCACATTCATTTGATTCTTGATATCAATATGACATAACATAACATTTTGTTAGGTCTTAAACTGAAGATTTTTGTATATCCCACTTTTTAAAAAAAAAAAAAAATCTATGGTTACATAAATGATTGCATGTCTATATAAGAGTGATTGTATATGGAGCTTCAGTTTTTTCAAACTTGTCTGTTTGGATCTCTCAGAACACAAGAATGGAGGGAACTTTCCTGACAATGAAAGCATTGCTGTAAGTGCCCTAAAATCTCTGTGGATCGTTTTACTCCTTATTCCTCAAAGCAAAGACAGCTACCTAACTACACACCTCTATGTGTGTCGGTGTGTGTGTATCCCTGCAGTCCACAGACACTCTCCATCCGGAGGATATCAACTCCAAGGATGGAGATGCATCTCCAGAGTCAAGAGCCAACTCTGGGAATACTGATAGCACAGTAACCTTTGCTGCGATGACAAGACCTGCGCTTACCCACCAAGGCAAGAAACAGCTCTGCTTGTGTGTGTAGAACTTGGAAAGGAGGGATATGTATTGCCTTCATCTTAGAGGAATAGGAGCTAATCATAGTGCCCATGAGAGCAGTTTGAGCTTTGTTCCTGAATTTACTGCTTTATGGTGAGGTGGGTACTTATTTAACATGCACGTCTCATTCCAGCTGCTTGGTGCCTCTGCAGTTATGGTGTGAAATCAAAGGAGGAGGAACTCGATACACAGACACACACTCATACTAACATACTCTTATGCACAGCTGAAGATTTTTTTCTGTAACTCAAAGAGTTCTAAACATCTAAAGACATCACAGCAGCTCTACACATCACAGCTGAAGGGAAAAGCGTGCCATTCTGTGTGTGCATGCAGGGAGTCTAATTGGTATTCAGATTATATATTTCCAAAAAAAAAAAACCCTTAAAAATTATCAAGAGAAGAAAAGTGCCTAATATATTTTACTTTATATATAATATATTTCACTGCTCCCAGTATTTAAGCACTGTTCTTACTGGCCACTTTTTTGGGTGCACCTGTTCAACTGCTTGTTAAAGTAAGTATCTAATCAACCAATCATATGTCAGCATTCCATGTAGGCATGTAGACATGGTCAGTATGATCTGCTGAAGTTCAAGTCTCAATCTCTGCTGGCATATTAGGATTGTAGGGTCAGAATTTGGCATAAATAACATGGAAAGCGTGGTTCAGGTTGGTGGCAGTGGTATAATGGCGTGTTTGATATTTTCTTGCCACACATTCTTGCCCCCTAAGTACCAAATGATCATTGTTTAAGTACCACAGCCTCGCTGATTATTGTTGCTGACCATGTCCATTCCTTTATGACCACAATGTGCACTTCTTCCAACAACTGCTTGCAGCAGGATGAAATTCCATGTCACAAATCATTTAAAATGGATTTCCTTAATATAAAATTGAGTTCATTGAACTCAAATGGCCTCTAAAGTGACCAGATTTCAATCTAGTAGAGCATCTCTGGGATATGAGATTTGCATCACGGCACATCTGCAGCAACTACATGATGCTATCATTTCAATACTGAGCAAAATCTTTGTTTCTAGCACTTTGTTAAATCTGTGCCACGAATTAAGGCAGTTCTGAAGGCAAAAGATGTAACTATTAAAGTGTCCAATGAGTGTACAACTTTTTTTAGTCATGCCAGCAATCTGGCCCTAAGATTGATCATCTCCCTTAAATATGTCAGTACATACTGGAAACATTACCATTAATCCTATATAGATATTCATGGCGCCTACATATGTTGTTGAAACACTGACCTTTCCTTGAGTGCCATCATAAAATGTGCATACATATTTAGAATAAGCTGCTGAAACTGGCTGCCAGCTCGGAATATTTAGGCATTAAGTATTTTTCTTAAATTTGTTTTTATTTTTCCAGAATCTGTTATGTATTACTTGAAAAACTAATGGCATTTCCATCCATTTTATTCATACTGTTTGGTACTAATTGTCACTGTAATGGGCTACACCAAAAAGTAGAAGATTTTTAACCGCATACTTGCATCCCATTACTATGCTAGGATAATCATTAAAGGCATGTTGGTGGTAACATTTAGCTTAGGTAGAGCCTTAAAGAGCTGCAAATATGAGAGTAGATTATTAGGAAGGATTAGCATAAACTTGCTCCTTCTCCCTGTTTTAACCACATACTTGCATCCCATTACTATGCTAGGATAATCATTATAGGCATGCTAGCATGTTAGTGGTAACATTTAGCTTAGGTAGAGCCTTAAAGAGCTGCAAATATGAGAGTAGATTCTTAGGAAGGATTAGCATAAACTTGCTCCTTCTCCCTGGTTGTGGGAATACCTGAAATTTGCTGCCACATTTGTCATAATGACCACAATTAATCACTAAAAAAGGACAGTCAACAGAATTTCAATTAGCAGTTAGCATAAACATGAGATAGGGCTTTGCCAGTTCTACAGCACAACCTGCAAAGCAAAGAATTCACAATTCAGTTTTTTAATGTGTGGCGAAAAATCAGACAAGAATATTGAAGCCTGAAATGTGCACATTTGAAAGTTTTGGTTTTTTACTTACAGGTTCTACATTCAAGCCCCTGAATCCAATCAAAAGACAAGATAAGAGCAGGAAGAAGACCAGGAGAACCACCATCATGGGTATTCCCAACCAGGTCCAGAAAGAACTTGGTACGCTCAAAGTATTGTTCTTTGTTGATGATGAACAAAAACTATATTACCATGTTACTAATGGTGCTAACAGTGATATTCCTTCTTCACAGGCCTAAACAGAAACTCCACCTTTCAGCCGCTTGTTTCTACTGAAGTCTCTGTCAACACACAGATCAGTAACAGCCAATCATCAGGTGTCGTCACCATTTCTACAGATGATGGGACTCCAGTGGCAAATAAGTTGGGAGCAAGGGTACATGTTTCAGAGCTGGAGGTAAAGAGTTATTCAGAAAGAACCTATTCATTGTAAATAGCTTTGATATATGTTATAAGTTTAATATGCCTTTTATATTTCAAGAATGGTCCACTCCACCCCACTCTAAGCAGGCATTCAGAGGTGAAGAGCTGGTGAGGAAACATCTCCAGGACCACCAGGACTTTGGTTCCCATCTCTTTCCCACCTCCAACCTAAGACCCAAGTCTCTTGCAGTACCTGGCATGACAACATCCACCTCTTTATCTCCTTCAATGTTCAATTTCCTCCAGGAACCCCAGGTAGGAATTAAATCAAGCTGTTAGATAAGAAAACTGTCTTTAAATTAGTTGTGTGAACTTTGTTTTTAATTCCTAGTTGATTATTGGTGATTTGTCACATTTACATGTGAAACATTTTCTGTTTTCTTTCAGGGGCCAGTGATGTCTATCTCTCCACAGGCCACTTACTTGTCTACAATCATTCCTAATGCTGTAATGCCAGCATCGATTGAATTCATTGAGATTGACCACAGTACCAGCCGGACTCGTGGCAGCAGTGTCAACCATGGCAGCAGTGTTCGCACTGTAAGCAAAAGCAGCCTGGCATCTGGGGACTCGGCAGTCAGCCCCTTGCTATCCAGAAGATCAGATGGTGACACTTCCCAGACAAACCATTATCACAATGACTCCACACTGGCCACATCAGCTTCAGGGTCAAACTGGAGTGAGTCAAAGTCTTCTGAGACCATTATTTCAAACTCATCCCCACTGTCCTCCAAGGGTAGCACACAAAGCAGTAACTCTTCACAGAGAGTATGTCTAAATGGGCAAACCAAACAAACTGTTGGGGATCAGGACCTTGTTAGTTTCCGTAGCTCAGTTCATGCGATTAGCAGCCCTAGCGGTAAAGGTGAAAACCTTGTTACAAGACCAGCAACAGAATCTGGTGAATCGGTGGCGGTGGCTGCTGGAGAAGAAGCAAAGAATAAAAAGAAACGTAGCCTTTCAGTTATGAAGACCAAGCAACCTCCAGCACCACCGCGTAGATCAAACTCTCTGCACAGTAATAAGATTAGAGGTAACTCCAGGGTGGTTCTTGTGGATAACAAAAGTCTTAATGACTCTGCTTCTGGGGAGGTGACATTTACTAGAGAGAATATTGTACCAGAGGATGAGACAAAGTTGGTTTCTACAAATAGCACTAAGATACCCGAAGATGTATCAAACTTCCTTAGGTCAAGCTGTCCAGATTCTTCCGCCAATCCTCTGAGTTCTGCTAAGGCATCTTCAAATGAAGATGGGCTATCTCCAGAATCTAGTTCCTCCCCACAGAAAGTTCCACCAGAGGATGGGAAATTTGAACGGACCATTTCTCCATCTAGTGGCTACTCTAGTCAGAGTGGCACACCAACGCTTTCTCCAAAAGGGATCTCCCCAACCTCCACGGACAAGCAGAAGAAGAAACCAGTCAAGCCGGAAAGATCAGCGTCGCGAGCCTCATCCTCAGCAGCATCTCCTTCATCCTCAGTTACGTCTTTATCATCTGGAACATCTGAGCTTGCCAATACAGAGGTTTCTGTGTGTAGCTCAAATCAGCCCCCACAGGGATCTTCACCACCTGTTGCTACAAAAGACCTTGCACTGAAGAACAATACCTCAACTTTTAGAGAGGAAGTAAATGAGCTATTGAACATCCCACCACCTCCTAAAGTCAAAGCACCATGTCCTCCTCCTCCAGAGACATGGGTCCACAGCAGACGCACCTTTGAGCTCCTCTGTGGGCCTTGCCCTAATGTTAAACAAAAAGCAGCACAAGTACAGGAAAGCACAAGTAACAACACAGGAACCCAGACTGAAACTAAGAAAGAGATGCAGGTTTTGGATCAAATTCAAACAGCTACAGACAAACCTATCATAGAACTGTCCAAAACTCAAGCAAAGCCTGAGTTACTATCAACAATGCATCCTGACAGAGTCCATGTGGTGCAGGAGGGTAAGGAATATCCAGAACAAGAAACACCTTTCATCCAGGACAAAAGAAAAGCAAGCGTAGATGTTCAGCAGCAAGAACAGAGTAGTAGCTTTGTAATGAAAGAGCCAGAGAGTCAAGGGACAACTCCAAAGAAAGATCCCCCTCCTGTCATGAAGAAACCCATGACACTACTGCACAAAGGGGAAATGGTCTTGGCGGAGAAGTCAGTGGAGAAAGAGAACAATGAAACGAGTGGCACAGCAGAGGTCACTATATCTGTGGAGAACTACACGTCTTTAGAGGAAGGTGTGACAGCTTTATTTGACAAGAGCAAGGCTGAGATGGACAGAAGTGAAGTCCAATCCATGCAAACACTTTCAATAGAGGTCCCCAGAATCAATAAGTTTTCTCCGCCACCTACCCCTCCCCCAGCATACCACCCAACACCGCCTCTATCAAGGAAAACACCTCCCTCAGCAGTATCTACACCTCCAAATGATTTACAAAGGGTACAGGAGGAGATCCACATTGTAGAGTCCTCCTGGCCACCTCCACCACCTCCTTTGGAAGGGGACTCTGTATTTGATGGAGTGGATGAGGTTGACTTTCCTCCACCTCCTCCTCCATCCATCATAACCGACAGTGCACCAGATGTGATGGCTGGTTGCGTCACAGAGTTGGGCAACCCTAATGTGCAGACTGTACAGAGTTCGGATTTGCACCCAACTGTTCCACAACCAGTTATAAATGACACAGAACCAGTGATTGACGTGCAGGTTCCAAAATCTATAGCTTTTGAGGAGAGTTCTTCATCTGTTTTAGAGACTGTATCGCCTCCACCAGTGGAATCGTCTCTTATACCAAGTATGAGAAGAGCAGAAAGCCCAGTACCAAACACAGCTGTAGATCGTCCCGGCAGTTTCCAGAAGCGAGGTTCTCTGCAAATTGAAGATGCCACTGTGTCCATCAGTACTCAGTCTTCAGCTCTGACTGTGCCCGTAGCACCTCCTCTACTGTCAGATAATTTAACCCATGGAGTTAATTTCAGAAGACATTCCAGCCTAGCAAATCGAGATGCCAGGGCCAAGGAGCTCCTCTCCCGCCACAAAAGTGTTCCCATTCCCAAAGAGGATGCTAACATACCTCTTGTCACCCCTTCCCTGCTTCAAATGGTTCGCCTGAGATCAGTCAACATGACCGAAGATCAGGTGCAAAGTCCACCAGAGGACAAGTCCACAAATGACGAAGCACCAGTTAAGGATAATTCCTCAGTTTCTATCCAAGGATCTCAAAACATTCCTCAAAAACCCATCCGCAAGTCATTGTCACTGAAATCTCCCCCTCAGGCCATTAAATCATCCTCTGTGACAATGACCAGTCCTTCAATGCGCTTACAGGAAGCCATACGAATGAAAACTGCAGCAATGTCTTCAAGAGATGGTCTGCCCTCCAAACTGGGTGTGAAATCATCGACATACAGCTGTGTCACTGACCCAGGAACTTTGTCACGGAAATCACACGAAGGATATGACATGCACAAGTCTCCAGCTTCTACTGCTAGCTTTATCTTCTCTAGGAGCACAAAAAAGGTTGTCATAGAGACTGCCTCATCCCCCAACGCTCAGGCAAATCTAAAGCAAAGCTTGGCAGCTGAGCTCATGCAAGTGTCCGATCAATCCAAGGCTGCTGTGTTTACATTTGATGGAGTGAAGTGTGATAAAGTTCCTCCACCTGTAGCCAAGAAGCCAACGCAAAGCACCATCAACTCTTCACCGAGTCTTCCGAATTCTTTGTCAAAGATGGAGGTCAATGTCAAAGGGAATGGAGCAGTAGTAGGAGGAGAACACAGGAGTGGAATAAACCTGTCTGAAACAACAAGTAAGTTTATCATTATATTTGTGCCTTCATTAGTGTTTTTGCTGCTGAATTTGCAACAGCTTCAAGGTTTGTTCTGTACCAGCATGAATAAATAACTCTTCCAACTCTTGCCATGAAAAAGCAGAATGCAAAGCAGAGGTTGCAGAATAAGAGTCACCTCCTGCACAAGCCCAGTACAGATGCTGCTGGTTTGCCTACAGACTTTTTTTTTTCCAGTTAAATGCGCAAGCATGTGCTTTAATTAACCGTAACCTGAAGCTCGTGATCATGTCTCAGTAATTCAATTAGATTAGGAAGGAATACTCATCAAGCGTGTTCCTATAACTGTATTATGGTGATGCTATAATGTCTAACCACCACTTGTCTTCCCCCTCCAGCAACCAGAGTAACAGCGGACACAATTGAAACACTGTTCTGAAAAACTTCTTTGGTGATTAAACAAGAACCAGGCTGATACCAGAAGAACAGAAAAAGGACAACTCACAAGAGAGACTGACTGACATTAAGAGACATTAACTAAGTGTTTGTGTGCGTTTCCTCCAAAAAGCCTTAGCCTGTATTGGCCTTCCTTAATATTTATGCAAAAAAAAAAAAAGTGGCACTCCCAATTTCTTAAAATAGCTTTATTCTGGAGTATTTTTCTAAAAATATAGTTTATGTCCTACTGAGGCCCCTCAGGGTGAAGCACTGTACATTGGCTGAATTGCAAATATTTAGCTTGTGTTAGATCGCCTCCCAGAGGCTCCATTAGGTAGTTGTAATTTCAACTCAGAGAAAACAATTTGTCTTCAAAAAAAAAGCATTTCTGTACATAGATGGTCTGTTTCCCCCTCCTCTTGTATTATATATATTGCAATATTGTCTGACAAAAGCATCCACTGTAGGACAGGATATCCATTCCTTACTTAGACTGAGTGAAGAAATTACTGAGCTTAGTATCATTCACGCTTTTTGGTGTGTAAAGCATTTGTCAAAAAGGGATGCCGCATACTTAAGAATTCAGTGTTTTTGTTTTTCCGAGATGCACTTTTGTAAACAACATATGCTAAACAGTTCAGAATAAAAGCATCTAAATACGGGAGTAGGTGAAATATCAAGTAGATGCTTTTTTTTTTTTTTTTTTAACAATTCTTGGGTGTCTGCAAAGCCAGCTCATCAGTATCCTATTTATTTATGTGTGATTGTTTTCACCAGTAGCACTGTCAGTCACCTTTTCCTACCAAATATGAAATATTTAAGAATCTGTTTCATCTGAAAACCACCTTTAGGGCTACGACTGGGGTGACTGGCCCTGGAGGACCATTACACTGGAGCAGGATGTCAGTGTTTTCAAAAGCGGACCTATTATTGTAATCCCTGTGAACCAAAAGCTCAGACATCACGCCTCAGTTTCAGATGGCATTTTTTAGTTTTGGATGTTAATGTAAGTGAGAGTGGGAATCTCAGGCACACAGCACTGAGTACACAGGCCTGTTAAGGAGCAGCCAATCAGGAGAAAGTTTGCTTAAACTGAGGGGAAAGAGACAAAAACAACTTGATTCAGATGGTTGATGAATTAAAGCCTGGGTTTAAAAAAAATCATTATTATTTTGAACTGTGAATCATGCAAACTACTTCATCCATTGATAAAGACATGCAGCTGAAACTGAGCACGATGGGTCCACTTTAATACATGTTCTGTAACTCTGTAAGCCTTTTGATGGTGGAAAAAAAAATACAGCTCAATATATTTGCACAAAACTTTCCCCCTCTCAGAATCATTGATGAGTGAATTATACTGACTCCTCATACAGGGTCAAAAAAAATCTGTTTTGCTGATTATAGAGAAATATGTGCAGTTATTACTTCTATAAATAAAATTTAAGTGTATTAAACTGTTTCCTGTGTTCATAGTTCAAAAACTTTCTCACTGATCACAAATGATATTCTCACTCAGACTTCAACCAGTGTTTATTACACATGAGAGATGATGATGCATGGTTTGATTATAACAACTAATGTTCAGATCTGGATTTCTGTGCAACATCAGTCAAAATACAACCGTCATATAGTACAAGGCATATTGATTTTTATATACATAGGATGTTGGGAACCCATAAAACTTTGTTTAGTAAGCAGATTTGGCAGATTGGCCACAGTCCTGATGTTCACATTTACCATGAAGGCAAACAGTAAAACAGGTAACTAAGGAAACGTTCAGTCCCTTTTAGGAAACCTGAGATATTTTTCATTGGCTACTTCCACGAATGAGCTATAAAGACCAGAGTCCTTTAACTGAAAAGGCCCTTTCTTCCCCATATGTGTACTAGTAACACTAAACAACTTCAAAGAAAGGAAAAGTAATGAATCAGGTTGTTAATTACATCATTTTTATCTTTCATATGCTTTTCCATTGATGCGTGATAAGAGAGTTTAAAACATGTAAGACACAAGGCATCATGTGCCGTCACTCTTCAGGGAACATCCAGATGAAGCTTGATGCTGCTGCCATGGCGACTCGATGGAAGTACTGTTGCTGTGGCGAGCAGGAGCAGCTTCAGCGTTTGCGTGTTTAACTGATGTTCCCTCCTTTGAGCGTCTTACATGTGATCTGCCCCAGTTTGGTCATCAGCTGCTTGTCCTTCCACTGAGCTACACACTCGTCTGATATCTTCAGGTCAACCTAAAATACCAGATAACACACATGATTTTATCGTCTGTACTTTAAATGTTAGATCTTTAGTAGAGGGGGGAAAATACAGCGGTTTACCGTTATAGAGATTCACAAAGAAACATACCTGGAGTTTCTCCCACACCTTCTTCTTTGGGTTAAGTCTATCATCTGGCTTGCCTGACCCATACCCTTCCACAAAGACCCTGTCTCCTGGCAACGAACCTTCTGGAGGATCCAGAGGCTCCACCTTTCTGGGCTCGCCCTCACTGGAAAACAAACAGAGATCGGAGGAATTGGAAATTGAAGCTAAATTTCACGTTGTACAAAAAAACAAAACAACCCAGCCCCCAAAAATGAAACTCACATAGAGGCACACAGCAGCATGGCTTGAGACTCGATCCCACGCATCTTCTGGGGTTTCAGATTGCATAGCACCAACACCAGTCTGTCCTGCAGGTCCTCCTGTGAAATGTAGGCCACCAGCCCACTGACTACCGTCCTCGGCTCAGGCTCTCCTACATCGATCTTCTCCAGGTACAGAGAATCAGCGTCTGGATGCTACAGAGGGGGGAAATTATTTTTAAGCTCCACAGTGATTATCCAATGATGTAAAAGTTCTGATTAAAACGAAATGACAATAACTTACCTTCTCCACACTGAGGATCTTTCCCACTCTGATGTCCAGTCTGGATGGAGCCAGCTCATCGTCCTCTCCTCCACCACCACCTCCTCCTCCTCCGGCCTTAACGCCCTTCCCTCCTGCTTCTAATAACACACAAGTAAGACAGCACTAAGTCTCAGTATGAAGCCAACTCCCGCTTTAAGCCAAAGCAGCCACACGGTTTGACACTGACTTGTCTTTGAGGGATCAGGATAGGCGTTGCTGGTAAGTTTACGGAGCTCAGGAGACTCGAACTTCTTTCTAATTGGCTCCAGTAGCTCATTTAGTGCAACCTCCACAGAGGCCTTCAGGTCTCCAGGGTGGATCATCTATAAACAGCAGTTAACTACAGGTTAAATCAGAGCTCGTTACGGGAAGACTTCATTGTTCAAATAAACCAGTTAAGGCGTCCTTCACCTCTGCAGCGAAGTCCTTCTCCACTTCCTCAAACACACTGTAAACTTTGTCTCCGCCCCACTTTGCGTCTCTCTTGATGGAGAACACTGAAACACAACAGTACAAATGATCAACTCAGTTGATTATTCAAATTGATTTGCCAAAAAAAAGGAAGTCTGAAGCCAGGTTGCAGGAAGAGATTGAAAAAATAGTTTCTACCTCCTCGTAGAGGGAAGAGGACATATTTGACAAAAGAGAGAACTCCATTGTTCTGGATGTTGCCCGGCTCACAGAAAGCCTTCTTCAGCTTCTTCTTTACATCCTCTTTGGAGTCCAGGAGATCGATTTTCGATTCCTGGAAGCAAAAACAGATAATAAAATGAAGATGGATGGAGTGTTGAGAAAATTTACCGTCAAAATCTTGAACTCCAATCACTTCCTTCCATGACAAACTAAGTTTATATGACCTTACCTCTTCTGAAGAGCTCATCTTAGCCCCCGTCAGCCCCGGCACCATCGGGTTCATCAGGTGGGCACGTTTAGCGTAGCCGAGAGAGGGCAGGTACTGCCGAACAACACAGATTAAAAGCTTGAACAGCTGCACAAACAGCTGAATGTTATCAATTCTGTACTAGTCTGTTATCACACTTTCACATGTAACTAAATATAGAAGCTGACATGAGAGAAAACCTTAAAATTCACAGAAAGGTAAAGAACTGGATCGGATTCTCTGATAATAACAGAATAAATGTTCTACATCTTCTATAACAGAAAAACTCGTTTGGCTTTTTGTGAGAGCACCACAACCTTTGAAGCATCAAAGTCAGGCTAACTTCGGGGTTAAAAAAGTAATCCCTACAGCACACTACATTCATAAGAGTGCAGGAAGAGGAAAGTAAATGAACTTCCCATTCCTCTCTGGATGTAAAGGACTGCCTTCTGAGCACGGGACTGCATAGCCAAGGACCTAATGAGTCTCAGCCTCCACAAAAGTCAGAGCAGGTGTAAGTAAGCATGGCCAATGAAGTCTCAGAATTATACCACAATGACTCAAGGAAATTTGCTACTTGCACTGATGACAGTCTACCTCAATCAAAGCGTGCACCACAAGGTGCCAGTAACAGCAGCGGCAGCAGTAGAGTGCGATAGCAGTGACACAACAAAAATTAAAACATAAGTAAAAAAGCAGCTTTACAAAATATGAGATTTAGCTCTAATATATACAAATAGCTCAATTATGAATATCCAGAATATCACAGAGATGAAATATATATGACTGACACTTAACTCTAACCAGTAAAGTTGGTTATTTGTTACTTTCACTTTAGAACATGTGTAAAAAGGGTGTAACTATTGACTTTGTACTGTGCCTTAGATGGACGAGTTGTACTGGGATATAAGCCACAAGCAGGAATGATTTCTTTTGTCACTCGGTGGTGCATTTGTGGAATCTCAGTCTCTCGTTGAACGTGCTCCGGTGACTAGCCAGCACGTCATGGAGTGGGTGGGAGGTATTGTCCACTATTTTCCTTATCTTATATATTATAAGAGATATTTTTATATCTCTCGAGCATTTTCTCCTTCAACTTTGTCTTCATATTCTCAGTGCGTTTTTGCATCAAGTAGTAAAACCGGTTTGATGTTCACCGTTTTCTTTCATAGTTTGCAAAGTGTGTGCCTCTTACAGTCAAACCACTACCACACTATTGGCGTACAGCTGCTCCCTTTTTAGGTAACAAATCGTCATTGGAAGCTCACACACCGCTCTCGCACTCAGACATAAGTGGGCTTAGGCCATTGCTGCCCACACTAGCAAACAGAAATGCATCACTATATCACCAGATTCACAAGATGACGCTTTTGTAATCGCGTGAAAATTATACCAGTGTTATTGTGGAAGGTATGATAAGTCACAGCACTAATGTACTGGATTCCTTTAGTCATTAGCAGCTGTGCGCTGCTGGGAGGCTGCAGAGGACTTGAGCTAAAACTAAAGGAAAAACCTCTGTAAATGTGCAAAGGTGTAGGATACCTTCTCTGCCAGAGTGAAAATCTTCCTCTGGTCAACACCTCCAAACTGAGCATCCACTTTCAAGTACTCCTCATCCAGAGCCTGAGGGCATGAGGAAAAACACAAGATACGGTTACTGTGATTAATACTAAGCTGTGACACGGACACATCTGAGAAACTTCCACTACTGCATTGTCACAGTGTGATGACACCAGCGTCTCAATTCTATGAACAGCGTTATTACCTGTAGGCCGGGGTACAGCAGACCACTCAGGAGAGGATGCTCCACCTGTTTCACCACCTCAGCTCCAGCCTTCTTAGCATCGTGCTCTGTCACCATGGAGGACAGGCGGTACACATCCAGAGTGTACTCCCTGGAAAACATGGTAACACCTACACGTTCAGTGTGAGCTGCAGCTACAGGCAAGTTTTAAGAGACTGTAAAGTTGAACGAGTGGATGTCAGATCAGCCTCTGAATCAGCAAACAGACCTGCTGAGCTGGAAGTCAGTTCCTTTGACAAACTTGAGTTTATCCAGAGACACACCGATGCTCTCCAGCATGGCCTTGATAACCTGCTCGTAGTATTTGACCCTGAGCTCCAGCAGCTCCCAGGGAGCTTTCATGTTGTCTAGGTAAGCATGCAAGTCTGCAAACAGAACAGTGACCTAAGGAAAGGTAGAAGAGGGGGTAAAAAGGCTTTTTTAATTTAAAAGCAACTACAAATAAAACCACAGTCAGCTCTGCCACACCCACCTCACATCCAGCTTTGAGGAAGTCTGCTATCTTAGACATGGGGACAAAGTAAGCTACGTGGGGTTTGCCAGTGGTTGCTGTGCCCCAGTAAACCCTGAGCTCTCTCTCCTGAAGGACCTGCTTCACCTTCTCCTCTCCAAGGACCTCCTGCAAAACACACATGAGCAGAAACATGTGAGTGTGACATGTATGCTCCAGTAACAATGAGCATCTGTCTGCGTGTCCCACCTGGAGGTTCCTGGTGATGAGGTTAAATTTCTCATCTGGACTCAGCTGATCTGCCATGGTGCTGGGTGCTCCGACTGTAACACAAGCACAGTGGTCATCTTCCTGGGGTTCTTAATAAGGGAGTTCCAGTTAAATCGCTTTCGGTCTATTGTTGATCTTGGCGACAGACAGGTATGACTAACATTCGTCTGACTGCCATGTTTTTTTCCATTGAAACAAAACAGTAATGCATATACATTTTGCGCGTTTTAAAAAATTAAAAATACTGCAGCTCAGTTTGCTGTCTATAAGCCGTAATCATGTAATACACTTCACTTTGACGCTCCATAGACTGTGCAGGCTAGCCAATGAACATAACGGTAGTTTTGAAAAAGACGCAATTAGCCCAAAAAATTAAAAAATAAAAAAGCACATCTTTCCCGGTAAATTAGCTAAAATTCAGCATGTAGCCTACAATTTAGCTAACTTCCACCGATGAATGAAGGATCTAATTAGCGAGAAAACCATGTGAAGCTAACGTTACCTAGCTCCTGTGGTTATAAACTATTCAACTGCTTTTTTCTAGTTGCTACATTTTTTTGTTTATCTCACAGCAATGTCGTTCTACGGTAAAATCACACTGCACAGTAGCCGACTTACCTCAAAACCCGTCTTCTTTCAAAGAGTCCTGGGTGAGAGAAACCGGCTGAACGGACCTGTCAGTGTTGCATCAGCGACAGCCTCCGCTCTGCTATCGATTCTAGGCGGAAGTAATCGAGTTCAGAGTGCAGGTCCTACCGGTTGGTAAAACTTTTTTCTTTTTTGCCCTCCAAAATCCTTACACTAGGAAATGAGATTTATTGAAAAACAACGATGATTAAATCATTACATTTCATATAATGATCAGAATGTTAAAAGTTAAGTGTTAAAAGGCTCTGTCCACTTGGTTTTTGTTTTTTTGTTTTTAAGAATTGTCTAATCGTTGTCTTTAATAAACTGAAAGTTTAATTCCTGTCAGAGTACAGTACTCACTTATATTCGAATTTTTTCTTCTACTCTTGTCAAGCATTTCAGAGAAAATCTTGGGAGTGATCAGGTAATTATGATCTAATTACAATTGTGATACTTAATAATTTAAAGACAATGGCAAACAAACTCTTTTTTTTTCTCCCAGGGTGGCCAGAGGTAGATGGATTGTTGGGGAAATGCTGGCAATAGTTCAGTGCACCAGAGAAGAGTTGCTGACACCCAAGGCAGTAGCAGTAGAACCCGAAAGATTCCTCCTCTTTAAAAAACAAAACAAAAAAAACCAAACAAACAAAAAACAGTCCTTGTTAGGACTGTAGGAAGCTTTTTACACACTCACAAAGACAGATATATAAATGAACAGAGAAGCGTTCCAAGTAAAACTGGTCTACTAAAGTTTATGACATCTGAATATTTGCTTAGACTCAGTTCTTTCTCTTGTCAGATAAGTCTAAAAGGCCTAAAGAGTTCAGTCTGCCACTTTTAGATCTGTGCTTGTAGTAAAATTAAGAACTCATTCTGCTGTTGGAATCTGAATTTCAGTCACCTCCAGGATTTCTTGGGTGCGCTTTAAAAGTGCTCCAGACCCTCCTGTCACTGGCTCAGGCACTCGGTGTGTTGTGTGTATGACCAATGTCACCCTTGACTTTTAGTGAACTGTTTCTGGAGTGCACCTGCAAGAAAGAAAGAGGCGGACCCCAAGGGCGTAGATTTGGCATGGACGGAAGGGACATGTCCCCACCAATATCCAGCGATTATTGAATTGTCCCCACCAATAATTTGATCTCTTCGAGTACAGAAAAACAAACCCGATAGAAAGAAAAAAAACGATCTGTCAACGTCTCATTCACCCAGCGGTGCAGAAAGAGTTAAATTACGTTCTCTACTGGAGTCCTACGTCATGTGACAAATATGGCCAATGTGATTGGCTGTGCCTTTCAGGGAGCTGTTTAGTTTTAGCAGCGGCAAGCCTGCGCAGTGAGGACCTGCAAGGAGGAGAGGATGGCAGTAAAAAGGAAGAACTTGGATATAAGAAAGTATTTTTCAAAGAAACCTGTAAGTCACTTAAAGTCAAGTTCACTCATAAAATGTGTCCGCCATAATAACGTTACAGGCTATGCCAGGCTTTGGCCCACATCAGTCTAAAATTGTATGTAACCATGAATAACGTGTTTGGAAACTAACTGCACAGCAGGCAGCACTATTAGTTCTCTCGGTCGCAGAGTAGCTTTTCTAATTTTGATTGAAACTGTCAGAGAAAACGGCAGCCTCGAGCAAGCCAGGATATTAGTTTACAGAGGCTGTTAAAATTATATGTCTAACGTTAAAATGTTGGTGACACAATAATTTCATCCTAATGGCACTGACATATTCACAGGGTTCATTTTTGAGACAATATATCATGAGGTAGTCATGATTTTACAAATATTCCACCTCGTAGTGCAGTTTGCACAAATTGTTTTAAAAATGCACTCACCGTACAAACATTACTGACGAGTCAAGATCTGCACAAATTGACAGAAACACTGAAGCAGCTACCCATTTTATTCTTATTGTCATGTATGTCCTATTTGTCAGGTGACAGAAGAACCAACACAAAGCTCAGAGAGTAATGGTGATACAAGATCACAGGTGAAATTGGATGATGACTTGTTGGTTCATGATTGTATTTGAAGCACATGTGTGACTGCATGTATTTGAATGTCTCACTGTTATTTATCAGGTGACAGAGGCAGCTCTGCCATGTTGTAGCTCAGACAGAGGTGAAGAGGCGAGGTCACAGGTGACTGACTGATGATTTGGTGCTATAGATTAACTAGTATTTATTATCATGACAATTGTTAGGCTGCTGATGTAAATTGATTCATTAGTGTATATTTGACAAAGAATCTGAATTGACATGTCTCACTTTTTATATGGCACAAATCCATGTGTTATTTTATCAGGTAGCAATATGTGCAGTCAGAGGGGAAGAGCCAGGGCCAAAGGTGAGGCACATCAAGCACATAATAATAGTTTTAATCTGAGGATAAAACGCAGGTACTGAGGCTGAAAGAAGCTTCAGTGCTCTCAGGAGACTAAAAAGATGGCTAAGGTTAACAATAACTCAAATGAGATTAAACAATGCTGCAGTATGTCCACCAGGAGAGACTGGACAGCATAGATGTAAAACAAATATGCCAGCAGTTTATCTCAGTTAACGAGAGGAGAAGGCATGTGTTTGGCTCCTTCACATAGTGGACATTGAGTTGTTGTGTGGGACACCAGTAGTCCATGTCTGTTGCTGCAACAGTAGTTCATGTTTAGAATAAAAAAATCTCAGCTCACTGATTTGATCGGGGCAATAGTGCCTAAAATGTTGCATAATTTTGCTGAGAGATCTTTTACTTTGTGGTCATCTTAGATGAGTAGTTTTATGGACAAAAACCACCAGGTCATTCAGTGTTCCCTTAGTGCTATAAGAGATGTTGGTGTACTATAACTGAAGTAATTTTGATAAGTCCTTAAAGTCATATTCTTTTATTGTCATGACTCTATTTTTATTTTTGTATAATACCTGATTTATATGGAATATGGCTAAAGTAAACTAAAGTCTAAAATACTTAAGTAATTTAACATTATATAATTCACATATAAAACTATGAATTGTAATTTTAAATGGTTTAAAAGCATGTAGAATAGCATATGTAGGCAAGTACATTTCTCCTTTTTTTATCAAGAAGCAAAGACAAAAAGGAAAAAAATAAGAAACAGGGCAGGGTTCAGTGGTTGAATCATCCGTCCCCACCAATGCCAAAACCAAATCTACGCCCTTGCTCTGGGCTAATACTGTAAAAAGCCATCATTAGTTTTCTTTGTAATATCAGATCATTTGTTTTGATAAATACATAGGTCAGTATCAGGGTTCATATGAGCTATTTTAGCAGTAATTTTACACCTCCACTATGATAGTATTTAGCTGTTAATCATGTTAGCAAGGAAGCCAGGGTTTGTAATTCATTCTTAATTTAGCCACGCTGCATGAATTTGGATGATAACATTTTTGAAAATGGCAGTTTACTTTATCGGGCAATTATAAAATCGCATTTCTTAGGCTGGCTTTTAAGGAAGGAGGAAAGGTATGTATCAGGTGGCTGAGAAAAAAGATGGAGGTGGAAAGGATGTGCAGGCTATGGGACAAAGTTGCTGAGACTAGGTTAAAAAGAGGTGCATCGCCTCCATCAGTCTTCTCTGTGGCCCTGCTCTTTTCCTCCTGCCTGGAAGCTCCACCTTCAGCATCCTTTATACCACCGCCTCTGTACACACATCCTAGCAGGTCTAACTACTATCTTGTAAACATTCCCTTTCACTCTTGCTGCTATCCTTCTGACACACCCACTCCACCCTCCCTTCTCTTCTTCACCCGTAGGACACTGTCCTTCGCTTTTGGATATGCTGATAGTCTTCTGTGTAAGTCGTTATTCAAAGGTTTCAAATCTATGTCTTTGGGATGAACATAAAATGAAGAAATGCAAAAGAAAATTGTATAATTAAACATATGAATTATGCCAGAATATGTTTAACAGTTTATTTAAACCTATCTCATGTTTGTGCTTCCATAGTAAGTCATCTGTTGAGGGATTCTGGGCAAATAACTGTTGTAACCCACACAGATCTCATAGATCGCAATTATGAGCCCAGATATTTACAAACCAGTCAGTACCCCTGGGCTGAAATGTGCTATGTTAATAATACTGTGACATATGAAAGTACAACACACTTAAAAAAAAACGGTTCTAAAATACCAGGAACAACAAAATGAGTTGGTGATGCAACTGTATGCAGTAAACTTGGGGTTTTCGGGCTCTTCCAGGACGTCGGTAACTGTTTCCATCTGGTTATCCAGACTTGCATCTTCAGTATTCAGTTCCTTTTGAAGACACAATTTCTGAAACTCGTTTTACATCCTGTTGCTTCTTTGGATTTTTTCCGACTCTCATAGATGAGAGCACCTTCCACATAAAAGCTGTTATTATGCCAGCAGCAGACTTCTCATCCTGACTCACACTGATCTGAGTGAAACACAGGCATGATCGCATAATTAAAGAAGAATAATCTGTGTGAGGGCTTAACACAGGTCATTACGCTCAAATATTTTATTCTGTCTGTGACGTGTTTTAGTCTCCCTGGCAGAATAAAATATAATATCAGTCATCATCAGATCAACAATACCATAAAATAACCAGTTTAAATGTCGCTGTCCAGCTGGGCTTAGGGGTCGGGGTCAGTATTTAGAGTCAGAAGTCGGGCTCCAGCCGGGGGAGCACCGGGAGGATGAGGTTCCCAAACGAGGAGTCCTGGGTGATGAAGAACCCGGAGGAGTGGACGTGAGCGTGCTGCAGGGCGGCCTTCTGTTGGGCTGCGATGTGCTGCTGCTCGGCGCTGTCCCTCACCTCCTTCAGGCTGGGTCTGGACGACAGCGCGATGTTGGCTCCGGGGCTGTTCATGGACTGGCTCTGCAGCAGCCGCCTCTTCTCCTTGTCCAGCTCCGCCAGGATGGCCACACGGGTCTTGTTCTGAAAGCCCTGTCCCGGCGGGTTAGCAGCCATGTTAGCTAAGCAGTTAGCAAACACCTGTTTCACGAGTCCACGAAGCACATAAAGCCGACTGCCGGGATTGCTTCTTTAGGGTATGTGGTTATATAGAATATCTTCGCTATGGAGAAACACAAAGCACGCACTGTCAGAGATAAGACATAAAATACCGCCTTTAGGCAAAGGAACTGGACAACTTCCGGCTAATAGTTCTCCTTTCAAAATAAAAGTTCACGGAAACGACGTTTTTTTTTTTATCGTTTTATCTTACGGCAACACGCAGATGACAAAGGTTAAATGTTTATTTATGTAATGATTTTTTTTTTAAAAAAGTATAACTTCTACCAGGAAGAAAATATTCATCCAAATGTCGCCGTTTATGTGTGCGAAATAAAACCAACATTTACCAAACAGTTATTGCAATTTCGTGACTGAACACTAGATGGGATCAGTTCATTATGAATCATAAACCATGTGAATGTGAAAACTGGGTTTCACTAGAGCCACACCTGAAAATACGACGAGGACTCTCGTCATAGTTGGAGTGCAAAGGGTGGCCAAATTATATCACTAAATACACCATTAAGCAATTAATTAAGTGGATGAGTACGTAATTAAAATGGAAATAAATAGTGTATTAAATAATGTATTAAATACAATCATCAATTCAATTCATCAATTCATCTTTTTTGAAAAATATTTTATTATTTCACCATTTAATTGATTATTTCATGGTTCCTTGGCAATCTGCAATCTGTCAGCCTTACCCATTAGAGCCAGGGCACAGGGATGACGCTGATCTGGTCAAATATTTCAGCAGGTACACAATAATAAGTACACACAGTTTGTACTTGTATACTTGCACACTCGCTTCCCCGTTTGAGGACGGGAAGACACGTCATGGAGGCAAACAACACAGCTGATGACATAAGCTGGGCCTCATTGTGTACTTTACTCCCCCTTTCCCCTTATGATAAATATTTACAATAAAAATGGCAAATAACAGCCTAATTATCTGTTATATTTTACAAATATGCACAATCATAGTATGATTCTCACCTAAAGTCTCACTGATGTCAAATCACTTTGAAAGGTCATAAATTGATTTGAAAGAAGTTAGTAAAGAATTGTGTATCATTATATGAAATTAAACATTACTGATTAATCAAGACGACACGGTTCAGCAGATCGCTTTTAAAACGCTTAAAATACAGTTGAACAAATGTCGAAACAGATCATTATATCATTTGCGGAGCAGATTTGACCTCATTCTTCAGCACCTAAACTGCAAACAGCTGCCTCGGGCTTCTCTAATCCCATCCACCCAACTCTGGTTATGTTTAGGCTTCGCACTGTGATACACCGTAAGCCTAAAGTTCATTCATTCGCCTGCTGACACACTAACACTTTTCATGGAGTTCATGGTGGGGTTTTTTTTTCCTTTTTGGTTAATAAATTAGTATAATTTTGACTGATGCTGTGCCTCTTCTGTTACCTGTTATCACTAATGACCTTTCTTCTCCAGTTGGTTCCACTATATATAATATGGGATTAATTTCTTGTGCAGAGTTGGTAAATGGCTCCTAGACATATTTGACCTGCCGCTGAGCTGTGTAACCACTAGATGGTACTGCTGCATCGTGTCAATACAGCTGGGGTGACTTTGTTTGGACAGAACTAGGTATAATAGTGAATTTTTGTATGAAGGTATTGCTATCAATTCCACTGTCTGGTCTTCATGTTTCCCAGACCTGAATCCTTGTGAGAACCTCTGTCACATCTTCTGTGTCCAGTCCCCACACTCTCCTAGAGCTCCCTGATGCTATAATCCATGTCTGGGAAGATATCTCCTAAAACACCATCCACCGTCTCATCAGTAGCATGCCGGGGTATTAGTGAGAGTGCATCAGGTCATTATTATTACCAGAGGCCCAAACCAGTGTTTGTGCTGTATATAAACTTGTTTCAGCTCTACAAATCCTGGACCAGAAAGACCAAAATCCCCTCCGATCATAGAGGGAGACAACTGATCAGCAATGCATCTTGGAAGCTCATCCATCCACATGGGATGTGTGGATGGAGAAGAAGTTCCTTATTTTTAATCCACACAAGGAGGAAGTAAAGACTACTGACATTTTTTTTTGCCCCACAGTGCACAATGGACATTTATCAGTTAGTGTTTATTAACATCTTTTTCCTCCATCACAGTATTTTATTCTTAAATAGCTACACCACCGTGTAGATGGGTTCATCCCACTTGCAGACACAAATATAACAAAGATATATACACAAGTATATACATATGCACAGGAGGCGTCTGTGTGCCTTTGTCGGGATTAAAGCTTCACACATTTGGCTACAGCCTCAGTCAAGAGTCAATAATAAAAACAAACAATAACTACACGACAAATTAAAACAAGACGGCATTTACAGGATGTACAATTACTACAGGTTTAGTCTAAGGATGCATGTTCTCCGTCCTCTTCAGCAGAGGATAAAGAAAATATGAATGAAATAAACATTGGCAACTCAGTTGTCAGAATCAAATGTCAAAGATGTAACATTATGTATAACATATGACACTGAATGTACACATTTCCATATCGACAGATATGAAACATAATCCTCGTGATGACAGATTGACATGTGCTTCTCCAATAAAAACATATATACAGATAAACATAAACACCCATTGATAAGAGCTCCGCTTTCCATCTTCATCTTTTTTTTTTTTCCTTCTTCTTTCTCCAAAATGATGCGCTTCCCTTTTATAAAATGCATATGAAGCAAAGACAGCAGAGGAGGTTAAACCTGAATGCCCAGTTGGCAACAGCTTTACAGGCCTTAAATAGAGTTAAATAATCCAAGAAGCATGGCTTTCTAGAAAACATGAATTTGAAAAGGAAAAATTAAAACTAATAAATATTTAAATAATGATATCACTAAATTACAGGTGCCTGTAGTAACTTAAATTTAAAGCATTGAGAGAGAAAAGGTTTTTCCTGCTATCAGCAGTTGTCCTTATAAATAATGGAAATAATGTAGCTGCTGAATATACAGACATCACAGTTATGTTTTTTAAAAAAATAACTGCTTTCACTCCTGTAGTGGTTTCAGTGTGACGGTGGAGTAATATTAGAAGCCATTTAGAGTGCAGGTGTTCCTGTTTGGCCACAAGTTCAAACATCACCATTATTTCTAACCTCTTATAGGAAAAGCCGGTGGGATGGGAATAAGATGAAGCAGGCTGGCTGATTGGATTGTGTAAACTATGAAGTGAAAATGTAAAATTACAATTTCTATTTTAAAAAACAAAAACAAAAAAACCCTGACGTTTGCATCAGCTTTTTAAAACCCCGTAAACGGGGGAACAAATTAAGGTTGTACCGCTGTTCAAGTTCCTCGTGTCGAACGCTCACATCTCAGAGCCTCCTGAGGTCGCTCACGTTCGACCTGCGTATATAGCACCATTAATACTAATGAAAAAATGCTCTTAATGCTTTTCATAGTTCTTGTGTGATTTTGACTCAGAGAAAGACCAACTAAACAAAGAAAATAAAAAGAATCTTTTCACAGCACATCTAAAAAATAAGGCTTTTTTCCCCCAAGAAAAACAGAAACAGAGAAGTGTGCCAGGAAAATATCACAGATTCACAGATGGGAGGGTTGTCTTTAGAAAAGGCCTCAGGGTGGCTGAAACAATGACACTTGAGTGAATCAAGTACTTCTGGATCAGCAGCAGCAACAGTAGCATTAGTGGACAAGGCAGTGATCCGACAGGCGCGGGTCCGTTGGTGCCGTCCGGTGCAAGAGTGCCATTCGTTCACCCCACTGGTCTGTCTGGAAAATGAGCTAGACCACGTTGGCTAGTTCTGCTGAGTCCGTTTCAGAGTCCGCCTCATTCTCCCTGTGAGACGAGAGACTTCGGTTGGAGGGTTGCCTCACACAGATGCAACACACACACAGAAGATGGTGAAGCGTTTGGGTCTGTGCACTTACCTCAGTTCCTGTAGGAGTTTGCGGTTAGCTTGCCTCTTCTCCTCATTGATCGGGTAAGAGTAAATTATGGACAGGCCAATCGCCATCAGAGCTATGGGTGCAGCCGAAACCAGTAATTTCAACGTCAAGTCCACTTCCTTAGGTTGAGAGCAGCCTCGGCTGATGTAACCCGCAAAGCTAAAAAGAAGAGAAATAAAATTATTAGCTTTTAGCGCAGCAGAGATATTGATGTGAAGGAAAAGTAACAAATTACTCATCAAATAGAAAACACTGCTGTGGTTAATCATGTAATATATGTACCCACATGCACTCTATAGCCTCACTGTAATCTAATGGAACGGAAAGGAACTCCTTGCTTTGATGTGGGATTTTGGGTGCTGAAAAATTCAACTAAACAAATAGCTGCAAAAACTAAACAAATAGCCTCAAAAACTAAACAAATAGCTGCAAAAACTAAACAAATAGCCTCAAAAACTAAACAAATAGCCTCAAAAACTAAACAAATAGCTGCAAAAACTAAACAAATAGCTGCAAATGCTTAAACTTGGTGCGAGTGCTTACTCTAAACTAAGAGTAGAGATGCCGAGAGAGACTCCAGAAGCAAACTTGGTGAAGAAGACGTAGAAGGAATAGAAGAGAGCTTCGTGGCCGGTGAAGTCGGGATTTTGCACTTGGAAGTCGTCGACGACATCGGGCAGCATAGACCTGAACAAACAAAACGTGAGGCTTGGTCATTTATGTGCATTCCTGATAAGAAAAACGTTTTTATCTATAAAGTCATCAAATACAAGCCAGCGGAGAGGCATACCAAGGTAGCAGGAAGGCGACAGCCACGCCAACGCCAGCAGCAAAGGAGCAGATGTAGGTGACAGCCAGGTTACTCTTCAGGGACACCACCAGGATCATGAAAGGAATCACAGCCTGGAAATGACAGTAGTGAGAGATTTAAATCCCAAAACAGGTCTCTCAATGATACTGCATCAGTTTTCCTAAGAAAGAAAAATTCCCCTAAGTTTTACGGTTTGTTTATACTTCTAACAAGATTTCAGGGACTTACCAGTGTGCCAACGTAAACCGCCGTCTTCTTTCCAAAACGAGTCAGAAACCACTGCCAGAAGGGAATGGCCAGAGTAGCGGAGAGCTGAAAGAGGGGGAAAAAAAAAACAAGTGTGGTTTACCAACTGTTTTACCAAAACTCAGAGAAGTTCCTGTAAGTTTCTCCAACGCCCCTTCGTATTCCAGGTCAATATCGGGAAAAACAACAACAAAAACCCTACTTTATCTGTGTTACATAAAAGAAGAGAAGCATGTTAGACATCTGATGCAGTCACAAAGCACTTCAGATATCATCTGACCTAAAAAGGACATGAAGAGGCGGGACAGCCCCCAGATCGTCGTGGGCTTTGACCTGCGCGTGTTTGACCAAGGCGGCGAGAACACCCGGCCATTGTGCACAGTGTTCTCGGTATTTCCCCACCTTTCCTTCTGAATGCCCTCTATAGGCCCAAACTTCCCGTCACCTCAGTCTCTCTGTGCAGTCATCTGTAGCTTTCAGACTTATTTCATGTAGTTTCACTTTAGTCTACGAGCACACACTCTGTTTTAAAATGTATGCACTTGAAATTAGTCTTGCTGTTCTGCAAACACTTCTCTCAAACCTTCGCCCCCATGAGCCTCGCTGTTTTTTTCTTAGAAATCAAATATCAACATCACGCATCAGCTTTCATCTTCTAAACCAACTTTGAAGAGAGTGTCACACAAACTGCCTTCACTGAAACTGAGCAGCACGACATTCTCATACAAGCATCCTTAAGAACGACTGCATGTGCTGTGCATCTAAGCTGGATCTAACATGAACAGGCGTCACACAGGAGGCTTTTTCTGCCTTCCTCCTCTTCCCTCAGTTATTCATTACTTTTGACCTTTGCTGCTTTTGCTCCTTCGACTGACAGCCAGTGTGAGGTACATGTGCTTTTATAACGTGTGCCAATTTGTTTTTGTTTATCTTATCGTTGCCATTATAAGATAATGAGATCACCTTACACATCATCAAGGATTACCATCTCTCAGTGCTGATTAAACAAAGTCATTTCAGTGACTGCACGTACTGGTTAATGGTCACTACCTTGGCTACATAATCCTGTCCGTGAAGTAAAGGCTCAAAGCATCTAATCTCTTCACCCTTTCTAACCTGCACTTTCTCACCCCATACCGTTGCGTGAGCTCAGCACATCTGTGGATTAATTAGCTTTAATTCTCGTCGGGAAGTTTGCGTGACTCTTTGATATGAAAGCTTTTTGTTCCCCTTATACTACAGGTTTATATAAAATAGACATGAAAGCAGAGGTGACTGTGGCTTCTTTACGGTCTGTGGGAACGGGGTGGCATTCGGGCCGAGCAGTCACACATCACTGAAACAGCCATGCAGGAGCCTTCCTTTCTGACCGAGTACAAAGTGGATTTTGTAATTAAAGACCATTTACAAGAGAAGGCTTTTGTCTGCACGCTGATGTTAATGGCTCATTTTGTTCCACACAAACGGGCTGCTCTGGGTTTCACCTGCCAGGGGTAGCTGGAGTCATTTCTATGGGAACAGTGCACCTAGCTGTCTGTGTCTATGTGTTTGTCACAATAAACCACCTCCCGGTCATCTCCTCTGTGTCTCTACTCACCATGATGACCAGCAGAATATTCTGGAAGTCGTTCCTGAAACCCAGTGTGGCGCTGCAGAACAGGGCAAAGTTTCCCTCCAGGAGCTGCAGGATAAGACACAGAGGTCACTCAGTGTATTGCTTGAACACACAAACACGCACACATGCACATGGGGCCAAGAAAACTCTGGCTGGGAGCACAAACATGCGAGAGACTAAACAGGCTGAAGTTAGTGACTGAAAAAGGCAAACATGGAAAGTTATCCTGTACACAAATTCATTTACAGTAAAATATACAGAGTGTGTGTGTGGCTCTTTCATGAACGCACCATGAAGCCTAGTGAGGTAAAGAGGAAGCCCATGACCAGTTTGGCATATGGTCCATACCCCATCACCAGCTTAATCCCCTGAAAGAAGGACATGGGCTCAGACCTGGGACGAGAAGACTCTGAAAAGAGAAAAAACACGAGGGAGTGAACCAAGATGCAGAATTCACTTTGAAACGTTCTGATGTCCCGTTTCTGAGCTTTTTTACTTTAAATGACACTTTTCATGTGCAGCTGCCTTTAAGCCTCACCCTGAAATAGCCAGACATCTTATTACGAGGTCACAAGGCTTTCACTTTGAGCAAACTTTGTGTGCTCCCTCAGCCCATAATCATGGAGCTGTAATCACACGAAGGAAGCGTACATGTGCGGCCCATCAGGAATCTGACATCAGTGACTTTGGCTTCGGATAAAATCTTAGTCTGTTAAAGGATCCAACAACAGAAGGATGGTTGATTCTGATAAACGCTCACCTTTTTGTTCTCTCACACCGAAGAACAGCACGACAGCACAGATGATGTAAATCAAGCAGATCACACCCGACGCGATCATGTAGGCCGTTCTCTGCACAGGAGGAAGAAATGCGCAATTAGTATTCAGAAGATTTCACAAACCGCCGTCAGCTCGCGTCTAATTAGACGAACTTGTTAATTAGCCAACTAATAAGTGCGTCCAGTTACCGTGTCCTCCAGGGAGATGACAGGCTTAGACTCATTAAGTCCAGGGGACGCAGAGAAGTTGCTCGGCTCCGCCAGGATATCGGCGGGCCCAGGGATGCAGGGAGCGTTCGCCAAGCCGACGATCTGGCCCTGGATCGCCGTACCGAGCACGGTGCCCAAAACCTCCACCGTCATCCCTGATGAGGAGACAAGGAGGCATCGTAAAGAGGCTCCAGGAGGTTTATCTAAAAGGACGGCGCTTTAACATGCCGATACTCACTGTAGGCAGTCGCAGAGTCTCTCTCTTTCTGCTCTGAGCTGATGAACATGGTGAGGGCTGAGTATGGCACATGGAAGCACTGCGGGACATCACAAAGAGTATGAAGGTGAGAGAACAGCTTCAACAAATGATCGACACTTAGATACCACAAGCACTGCACGAAGACAGGAAACTGTTTTCTAAATAATCCAAACATATCAGACTTCTAAAGAAGTTGGGGTTGATCTTCCCATGAGGTGCTACATACTAATATTATATATACACGGAAGAAGGAAATACAGAGGGGAACATTCTTTCCCCCCGACATCACCAAAGACCACAGTTAGACTGCAGGCCATACTCTGAGAACCCTACAATGAAAGGTTATAGTGAGCATGTTTGTGCGTGCACATGTGGTACTCACAGTCTGGAGGCTCTGGAAGAGGCAGTAGAAGAAGAGGTACCAGATGACTTTGCCATTCTCAAAGGGAGGAACGTACCATATGAGGAAGTAGGAAATCACAGCCAGAGGGGTTGACAGTACAATCCTGCAGAAGAGATAAAGCAGGAGGAAGGGGGAGGGAGGGGAGTGGAACAGGAAAACATGACAACAGCAACAGCGTCAGTCGATGTAAAACGTGATCTATTCAAAGTGTGGAACATCTCATTTTGTAAACAGTTTCCAGGTCTAAAAAGTCTCTCATTGCGTAACTACTCATGGCTTTTCTATTCTGCTCGTGCCAACACTTCTTCAGTGATTCTGCACTTTAGTTAACTGTCTCCTGATGAATATATTGTGTCTATGTACTTTACATGCAAAGAGGCCGAGCCTCAGATATGGCCTGATCTGAGGGTTACTAGAGGATGAATGACTTGGGAATGCTGCTGAACGACATTAAAGGCACCTTTTGTTTTCATGAATTCACACCTATATCTAACATACAGGAACTTCAACTGAGCATAAAATCCCACAGAAGTGAAATTCTTTTGCACACTTCCCGCCCTCCAGTCACCTCCTTCCTATGGTCAGACAGCTACAGTCCAATGAGATGTGAGATTTCGCCCTGCAGTTACGCCTCTGTGGATGCGTCACATTCCAAGAAATACACATGGAATATGACACAGTTCGTGCCATCCTGCCAGGACATTCACTGACAGGTCTTTTTAGCATCCTGTCTGAAAAGATCCTTTTCAGACAGGATGTGAAATTATGCTCGAGTCAGAGTGGTCCAACAGCTAGAGCAGGCCTAACTTCTCTCCACAGTGCTCAGAAAGCTGAACAACTCGCTGCCAATCAATTCGAGCCCTTGCGAACAATTCGTAATCACGCGCCGCAGCGAGAGTTTGAAAGAGAGAAAAGGTCCGGCGGAGCGACGTGCTGTCTGCTCTCTCGCCCATGTGATGTGATTAACTGTACCCTTGTTTGAACACAGTGTGGGAGTGTACAGAAAGGGTGGACAAGCTGGAACACATGATCCATCCACATGCAACAATGCACTCAGGAATGCTTGCTCCTTTTTTTCCCTCCTTTTTTAATACAGTAATCAACTCCAGCCCATGAGAGATGAACACAAACGCAAGGAATGTCATCCACACAAGTCACCAGCAGAAACTGTGTTGCTTGGTTTGTTTGTTTTTTAAGGCACGTGTTCACTGTCTGCAAGCCCAAGATAAGCTTCGCACCATCCTTGCAGAACTCTGGAGGCACACTGGGCCATACAAGCATTGACCTACATCACATTTAAACATCTTCTGAAACAGCCGTGCTGACAAGAGCGAGCCTTATCTACTTTGTCAGCGAATTAACTCAGCGAGTGGCAGCTTTAAGTCTATCAACAGTTGAGTAAGAGTGAAAAGCTATCTTAAGAGCTTCTGCGTGTGAGAGTGACACAGTTATCTCTCCATTTTCTCATTTTTGGCTTGGCGGCTGAAGCAATAATACATTTTTAAAATTTAGTTTTTGACTCTCTGCTTTCATATGTCAGAAATCTGCAGAAGCAGAAGCTGACAGTGATATAAGATAAGCAACAGGAAAGCCCTCGGTCTGAAAAATTCTCTCTGCTAGAACTTGAACTCCAGTAACCTCCTGGATTCCTCAGTCACTCTTTAAAACGTAATACAGGCACTGAAAGCTGAGCAGCTATTGGCTAAAACTAGTGGTGTGTTGTGGGCAGGACCAATGAGAAGCTCGCTCAGCTCCGGTCACCCTCCCCCCACTGTGGCTTCCAAGCATTAAAGACAGAGCAGCTCTGACTGCATCTGCAGCTTCATGCCTGCTCTCTGCACATGTGTCTGAAATGAACTGAGCCATAATATAACCAAATATGCCAAACCCACCCCCGCTACAACCAAAAGCCCACACCCCATTTCTGACGAGAAGTGGAGGATGCACTTTATCCCTCCCCCCTTCCTCTGTGACCCACTTTTGAGATTCAAACATCAGCATCTCAGCGGTAATTACAGTAACAAGATAAAATCCATCACCCTCTTGCACATTTGCTTCTTAGTCAAAATTTTTTGGCAAAGAAATAAGCCTTAATATAATTTTTACATCATCGAGTTCAGCACTCCTTTACAGGAACTCCCATTAACGATTTCCTCACTGGAGAGGAACATTTCTATCACCGTCATCTGCGAACCTCAGTCTCGCCATTATGACATTTCTTCTGCATTAGTCATGCAGGTCTACTTGCGACATACACACCCACGTAGGCTGCAAGATTAAAGCTAAAAATCACAGCCACAAATACTTAGATCATTTACCACAAACTTTCTTTGAATGAGCTCTAAAGCCATGGCCGTTTAACTAGAATTCATTTGAGCATCAGCAAGAAACTGTCTTTCTAAAACGTTACATGACCTTTACCTCCTCTAGAAGATATTGTTTCTACAGGGCCGAGCTGAACTACGCGGTGACAAAAGTAGCTGCGCTCTACTTGTAACAAGCTAAAATTAGAGCTGTATAGGAAAAAATATTGCAAAAAGGAATTTTATCTTGATTATCTGCTGCCTTTTGCTTAATCTCACACCATTTACCAAGAGGTTGCATTAACACAGGGAAAGACACTAGTGGGCAGGCAGGGGACCCTCTCCTCCCACTCGTGCCACTTCCTACCCAACGCTCATTTCCTAACCAGCTTGGGAAATTATATGTTTAATCAAGGAGGCAAGGGAGTAAATACACAGGTGCAGCACACACCCCACACCTCCTCGTGGTGGTTATTAAAGAGATGCCTTTGCTCTCTGACACATGTTGTTCTTGACATATCCTCTCTCTCTGATACCCTTTACCTCCGGTGGCTTATTTCTACCCTCGTCACACTACAGAGTACTGCATGTACTGAAGGGACAGTGGCTCTAAAACGTCTTCTGTGCTGACAGCTCTATAACTAGCAGCTCCGCTGACACCCCAGTAGTCTCTTACATCAGCGGAATTATATGAGTTACATCTCCGTTGACACAGACCACAGGTGTGTAACGGTGTGGGGAATAGGGGTTTAAAAGTCATTAGACTTTAGAGCTGATAACACTGTGCAAGATGCCCATAGACAGAACAATGTGGTGGTGGGGGGTGGGTGGGTCAAATCTGAAAAGAAAAGCGATCAGCAAGCCTTTTCAGGCATGCTTCACAGCCCTCCTACACACAGACAAAGATCCAAGCTGAATTCCAACCTAAATACAAGATGGGCTTTCATATTATTCTCTGTATATTTAAGGTTTTATGTCAAATAACCACACAAAGAAGACTCCCAAAGAGTCTTTGTGCGCTTCCTGTAATGCGCTGGAGTTGTATTTGTCACCAAAAACTACAATGTGGGTTATGTGCAAGAGTATCTCCTGAAGCAACTTCCTGTTTTTGTTTAACTTAAAAAAAATAGCTTGACATCTTCAGGGGGTTTATAGTTCAAACAGTAGCAGTTAATGTGGTCCACTTCACCTAAAGACAGTTCTCAGTATGCTATTCTAAATAGCAGGAGGTGAATGAGAGATGGGGGAAGGAGAGTTTGAATGGAGAAATCCGCACATGCTGGCAATGAGGAAGTAGTACTGCAGCAACAGCATGACGTGTAGTAAACCCTCCTGAGAGAAGTCTCTGGCTTTTCAAAAGTAGAGAAAAAAGCCCCACCCTCCCCAAACACTGACATCATACAGTTGGAAAACTTCCACCAGGGCTGATGGGAGAACCTGTGATCACATGCTCCAACAGCAAATACACAACAAGTGTTTGAACTGCTTAACCCAGCTTTATCAGTAAGGTAAAGGAAACTGTTTGTCAGAGGCCTCACTAAGGAAGTCTATTTGTTATGCACATCAAATCAAATGGACTGTGTAGCACCACAAAACTAGGAGGGAGTAAAAGCTCACCAGGGCAGCATGCGTCCAAAACGCGTCCACGGGCTTCGAGAGACCAGGAAGCCCACTGTGGGGTCCGTTACGGCATCCCAAGCTCGCCCAACAAATAGGATGATGGAAGCATAGAAGGGATCGATCTGTAAAAGCACAAGAAAAAGATTAGAGATGTTGACACGTGGCTGTTATACACATGTATCAGCTCAGATAAATGAGCACAGGTTATGTGGTCGTATAGCTAAACAGTAGCAGTGAAGCTGTAAAAAATGGGCATTACACTTCGCATTACAGTGGGAAAGGATTAGTCACCATCTTTTTTTAAAGACAGCAGTGAGAGGGTAACTCTTAACACATATTAGTTGCCAGCTGGCTGTTAACAGAGGGGACAAACTCGGACAGGGTGATGAATGTGTAACTTCTAAATGTACAATCTGTACCACGCTGTGTCACCCCATAGACTGTTAATTAATAGCCATGGAAGGCGAACAAGACCGAACCCTGGGAAGCCTTTGACTATCATGGCCATGACCATCAGATTACTGTCAGAGCTCATTAATGCGAGCTCCCCCCCTTTATATTGTGCCACCACTGTACCCCTCCCAAAGCTTTTCAGAACAAGCTCCTGTAAGCCTCTTAATACACTGGAGCCCCATCATCGAGTCAATAATGGCAACAAGGCAGAAACTTTTTCCACAACTTTGCTCTGATCTGTGTAAAGTCCTGTATGAGGGCTTATAAGAGCAGGGCTTTAAGACTCAGCATTACTACATTACAGAGAACAGACTGCACACTTTGCTCTCAATCCCATTTAATCTTGTGAAGTCTAACCTTACTCCTATCCCTTAATGTTTTGGACACATATAGGGTTAGGCTTTCTTATTGGAAAATTTAATAGCATTTAATGAGTGTTAAACTGAACATATGTATTTTTTCCCCCCTAACTGGCAAAATTGACATATTCTGAAAGCACGGGTTCAGGTTACTTATCGCTGATGGTGAAGCCAGGTGGCTTCATTTATCTCTGGAGTTTGGAAACAATTTCAACCTCCTCACCTGTGCTACATCCAGTAGATAGATCTGCAAAAAGAAGCCCAGGGCGCATCCTGTGATCTGGTACGGAGCTCCCCCGATGGCATAGCATATCTTGTTGCAGACTGATAACCTGTTCTGCTCATGCTGCAAGTAGGCAATAAAAAGAAAAGAAACAGATTTAGAACGTGCTCAAATACATTGATCGTAAAAACAAAAGTAGGATAAGAACATTTTGTTCAACAGGCACACCTTAGAGCAGGCCTGAGACCTGCTCGTCATCTGGGAGGATCTCGCTTGACAAGAGGCAATAAACGGCTTCAATGATAGCCAACTTTTGAGGAAACTGCCCTCGGGTATTTGCAGCTGTCTGCAATTGTTTTTGGACTTCAGCAGGGCCAAGTTTTTGTAATTATAGGAGAGGTCACTTCCCCGGAGTGGCCAGCAGCAGCTTAAGCCTTACACGGCCACTGCAACACACCTACAAACAATTACACTCCCCCTGTCCCCAGAAGACAAAAAAAAAAAAAAAAAAGAAGCAGATTATAAATGGGCAACTTTCTCAATTTCTGTCTGAGGAATTAATCTACAGACTTGCTTCTTTCTCACCAGTCCCATTAAACAATAAAACATTTTTTCCGAGCCTCACGAGGAACGTGGCCTAAATTCTTAATCGCCAGAAGGTCTTAAGAGTTTGTGAGTTCTGCTGGCAAAAAGCTAACCACAGTGTAGTGTATTTGGAAGGTGTCGGGGACAGCCGCCAGGGAAACAAGAAACCCTTGGTTCGGTAACAAGCGCTTATTCTTCAAGAGTTTCTCCGCTGAACATGTAATCATTTCCTCAACAGACAGACTCCAAACAGATCTCCTAATGGCGACACAAATCCGCGATTGGTGCGAGAGTCTGACTACACCATGGTGTCACTCACCCCAAAAGGCAGGGCGACAGCACCTTGGCATCAGTTTGAGATGGCTTAATTCCTCAGTGGATGACTGCCACTGTTTGACCAGAGCTTTGACCACTGCTGCCCAAAGAGAGGCGAACACACACCCTTATCCCAGACCAATCGAACGTTTGAGTTTCCTGCTGCTTAGTCTGACCCCTCTCTCTTTATTATTATTTTATGCTGAATGAGAAAAGGGCTCTTGCTGATAACCTTAAACAGAAAACCTATATCAAGGTACAATCTGTTTAAAGTAACCTTCGGCATATTTCACCACTCCTCATAAGGATCAGGAAAAGGACACGGAAATGAAGCATTGCTGTCATTGCATGCAAATAAACCAGTCTTTGCCCCACTGATACGCCCAGCTCTGCTTTTCTTTTGGTCAAACACTCTTCACTGCAAGGACAAACCAGCAGAAGAAGCAGTTTTAACCATAATAGCTGGAAATGCAGTAGCTGCAGTAGCTCTGGTGTCCATGGCAGCAAATGCAAAATCTCAAGCATCTCTCACCTTACATAACTCCCCTGAACCCACTCTACCTGAATGCAGAGCACTGACTGTACTGACACAGGCGTGTAACCATCAAGTAACTGCCACAGGAATGCGTTAATGTGACAGTGTATTCGTGTCACACACATTTGCATGGTTGTCAGGCAGCCTATTTAAAACACACAACCATAATGGATCTTAACTGAGCTTGCGGCCACACGTGGACAGATGTCTTTGGCAAAAAAGAAAAAGAGAAAGGAATGTAGCTGAGTTTTATAAACAGGACACTGAATCTACCTTCACTGATATTACTTCCAGGGCCACACCTTCTGCTATCAGAGTTCCCACTAATGATATGTTACTACTGTAAATGCCTAACATGCGTAGGTGAGACGTTTTTCCTGCTTTTTGGGTTCACGTGTCACTCCCTTAGTTTAAAGGTGCAGACACACAAAATCCCGAACACTCATTTTGTAGTGGGTTTTCGGGAAAGGTCCTCTGCCTGCTCCTTCATTATCTGACACGTCGCCTTGGTGGGTGCTCCCTGTGGCGTTCAGCGCTTTCGGGAAAATTGTAAATTTAATGGAAATTAATGAAAACCAAAGCAGTGAAAAACTAAAGCATTTGTTTAACAAACCACTAGTATGTGAGGGAATTTAAAACATCGTGCAAATGAACTCTACCGCATTTTTGTTACTACAATGCAAATTATAGTGTCTGATTATTCCAGCCTCAGAAAGACAGGCTACTTTCCCTTTTTCGTTGAGTGTTTCTTCCTTGTAAAGGCAGAGCTAGTGGGGGTTTTAACAGAGCCCAGTGAATGCAGCACAGCACATCTATCTGAGAATGCTTATTAAAACTGATATGAAGGATAAGATAAACCACGCTGGTGTTAGCAGACTATATTCTGCGACGTTTTTGCAAAGGCGATATCGATATTCCCAGCGTGATTTAAAAAAAATGCGTAATTATTTTAGAGGCTATAATTAAAAGTAAGCCACCATTATGCAAAGGTTAAAACCCAAATTTAAAACCTAGCTTACAGATTCTCGGCTACTTTAGGGAACAACGTCAAAAACCAGCCGAACGTGAACTGAATTTGAGGAATTACATTTTTTAATTCAAATGTAGCTACACGTTGTTGGCGAAATAAGGGCACAGAAAATCTCGAACATTGCCTTCCACACACACAAACTGTGAATTAAACCCGTTTGTGTAGATGTAGCCCTCCAAAACCACGTTTTTTGGTTTAAACTATTTGAAGAATGCGTTCTTAGTATAATTACGGATCAGAAGAAGGAGAAAGGGCTTCCCGAAGGCCCAAATAACACTCACGTGCCAAATAACAATAATTACATTTGATTAAATTATGCGTTTATCAATTTTTTAAATTCCGTTTATATCGTTTCCGAGTTACTAATGAGACAAATGTTGGCCCGGAATGGCGCGCGCCTTATTTAAGCTAACGTATACATGAGTCACCCTTAAAGTGTCAGCTGGCCGGTATTACCCATTCATTTAAAGGATCGACAACCATTCCTATCAAAGCCTGGCCCTTTCTATTTTCGAGAATTCGCGTGAAAGCGGGCCAGAATCAACCCGTACCTAAAGCTAAATTTTGAATAAATGAATTTACTCACCCTTTTAGCGAGCTGGATGCCATCCGAGTTCCCCGGTTTATTCAACAAACTGGCGTTCGAGTATTGTTCAGCTCCTTCTCCTTTCGCCATGGCAGAAATAACTGCGTCCTCGGTTGAATTTGCCTCAGAAATAAATACACAAATAAACCACTATCCTCCTTTAACAGAAAGAAATACGGTCCGGTAGCGTGTAAACTCAACGAGGACTGATGACATGTGATGCTGGCAGCAAGCAAGCTCGACTGGATGTAATTTTTTGGATGTCCCCGCCCTCTAACGTGAGCCATTCACACCACTACTATACCACGCCCCCTCGGGTGTGTCACAGTCACATGTTTCTTCATCAGAAGCCTTTCCTTGGAAATTCTTTGTATCCGTTTTCATCCAAGTGTGTTTACATTTACAAACGAGCTGTGACTGACACTGACACTGACAAATACTTTTTCAATTTTTTCTATATGTTTCTATATTTTTCAGTTTGAGTATGTAGTGTGTTTTAATTTAATATTTTATTTATATGGCTAATCACAACTACAGGAACTTTATATTGTAAGGTAAAGACTACAATAATATAAAGAAAACCTCAAAAATCAGGGAAGAAGCTGTAGGCTCTGCCTCCCATCCTACTTTTAAACAGTCTAGGAACCATTAATAAGCCTGCAGTCTGAAGATGAAACAAGATAGGGCCTGATTATTTAAGACCTTGTAATTAAGAAAGATTTGGCCAGTACTAGAGAAATATGCTCTCTCCATCCATTTTCCCTGAGTTAATCATTCATGACGAAACAGAGAGGAAGCAAAACTGGATACGCTGGTGCAGTACAGAAGACAATCCAAAAAAAACCAGGAACACTCAGACAGAAACTCAGACTCAAGCAAACAGCTGGTTAAAATGTAATCCACGACATTTAGCCTACACATTGCATTTAGAGTGAAGCTGTGTCATTCCTTCATATACAAACACTTCTTTTAGCAGCTGTTTTGTATACAGGGAATCAGCTTTGGGAAATCTCTCGTGCAACCTTACATGAGTCCTGTATGGTGATGTCAAAACTCAAAGTAACCCCCTACCTCTGTACTGAGCATCAGTGGAATCAGTTCAAAGGCGTTGATCACCGTCAAACATGGACACACGTATCTCCTCACTGCTAAACAGAGGCATACACGAGACGCCTCGTGTGTGGTAGAACGAAAAAGTTTTGCTTGTGCGGTTGACTGCAGATCGCTCGATTACTGCTTGACGTGGTCTCGGATTCTCAGGTCTATATTTGAAAGGTGTTTTATCCTCTCTATTCCAGTATATATTCCCAGATTAGCTGAGCATACATTCCATAAAGCCTGCAGTATACATATGCTATACACACACTGCTACTGGTATGAATACCCACCTATGTAGCAGGAACCATTGGACTGCTGGAGATGTAAACAAACATTTGCAATATTTGCTTATGGCTTTTCACACACACACACACACACACACACACACACAAATACTTGCCCTCTCCCCTAGCATTTGCAATGTAGCTTTATCTTCACACTAAGCAATATTTGTTTGCACACACCCTTTAAAAGGAGACTCTCCCTTTGCCTGATCAAACCTTTGGTTTGTGAACCCGACCCTTGCCAAGTGTGCAGTCAAGTTTAGACCATTTGCACATGAGATGCAAATCTGTAATAGTGCAGGCAGATCAATATGTGTCAACATGCTGCAGATTAGATAAGAATTTATGGACAAACATAGGGATTGCTGGTAAATGTATGGGATGCTTACGGGAAAGAAATGAAAATATATCAAGAATGCTTTAGCAAGCCCTTCCCTTTGCACACCGCATTAATTGCAAATAATTGTTTGGTATCAAAATGCTGTTCCCCTTAACCTCATTTCAATATTACTAAAAGATCTGATGCAACAACTTTTGCAAAGATCAACCAGTTGCTGCAGAAACATGTTATGAAACTGGATGATTCCTAAAAATAGAAATAATGATTTCCTCTTACAAATGAAATTAATGGACTCTTTGCTTTCACACAGTTCTTTAGTTCCAATCGCCTGCATCACAATGTGCAACATTTCAGTCGTTTGAGCATCTCAGCTGGGCACAAACTTTTCCCCACGCTCTTATCCCGTTTAAATGTGCCACTCTTAAAGTAGGGCTAAGACAAACGACAAACTGTCCTAACTGATTACAAAGTACACTGTTTTGTGTGTTGTTGCAGCGAGACAAAGAGTGTACTCTGCATTTCGTATCTCAGGAGACCTAAATGTAACCAACACATCACTTTCCCATGGATCGCCTTACTCGAACCATTTCTTTTAGCACAGCTACCGAAGAAGGATCCAGAGTAATTAAATGTACTTCAGCAGAGGAAAAAAAAGAGAGAAGATGCTTGGATTTCACTTGGGGTGCTTTGTTTGTAATCTTGTTCAGTGAGTGCAAGCAGAGACAGAGTTACACTGGAAAAGCTTGAACCAGACAGTCGCACGTCCCAAAGTAGCATGGCACATGTTTGGCACATGTATACGTTTATAAGGGCACAGTGTGTGTGTGTGTGTGTGTGTGTGTGTGTGTGTGTGTGTGTGTGTGAGAGAGAGAGAGAGAGGAAAACTGCACTCTTTGTACTGGAATTCTGAGATCCTGGTGCTGCTGATGTCACTGTAATGTAGACTAAACGTCACGGTGGCACATGTGATTACTATTCTGTGTATGAGTGGATAGGGTACAGTGGCTGTGGCTCAAGGGGTAGAAGGAGATTAGAAGGTCAATCTCTGGCTCCTTCAGTTTGCTTGTCTAGGCATCTTTGGGCAAGATAATGGACCCCAAATTGCCCTTGATCCGTTTTTTGTGATTGTGTGCATGATAGTTAGAAAGCACTTATTACATGCATAGAATAAAAGCTGTATGAACGCTTGCAGCACAAAGCCCATATGGAGTTGTTAAACACTATGTAGTTACCAGTGCATATGTGTTGTGTGTTGTGCAATGTGTGCCTGAGGGGAGAGTATGACTGTGTGTGTGTGTTTGTTGCCAAACACAGCGTGAAAATCTGATTGCACTGCCCTGAATTCAGAGTCCATTCAACACACTGAACATTTCATGCGTCAACCAAACAGCGGGGTGTGCATAGTTGTAGGTGGGATGGAAACTTAGGAGGGAGGAGAGTACACTCGCACAGGCAGAAATGGGCATCAAACCACGTGAGGGGAGTAACAGGGGAAAGGGTAGGTGTCATGTGCTCAAACTTATTTGAAAGGTCGTTCACTTTCAAGTAAGTTTGAATTGGTTGTCAGTGTTTTGGGCCAAAGGCGATTACTGTTAGTAGTTCTCAGTAAGCATATTTTTATGATTACGATCAGTAAGCCTCAAAGGCTCAAAGGTAGTAGTGAAAATGTATTACGTACCTTGCCTGTAGTGACTTGCATCAAAAGCTACCACCTACACCTGAACATTCCTGTGTTTACTCTGCTTTGTTATTTTGATGCAAAACTCATTGCAGATTAAATTGGCTCATTTTATCAATGTTAAGATGTCTGAACTTGGGTAGTACAGACAGACCTTACGCGCCAGGCCTTCATAAAAATAATTTGGTCTTAAAATCTGGTAAATACAACGTTAGATGAACAACAACATAAGACATACTGCGCTGTTTCCTTATTTACTTAACAAAAATTAGACCAAAATGCAAAATCAGAGCACTCTGTTACTGCTTTGGTAGGAATTAAAAGAGTAAATAGCTGCCAAGCGCTGCTAATCAAATGGACTTGTTTCTATAAAAGCAGAAGTTTTGTGTTAACGCAATGCCAACAAGGGAAGACATCAGCAATGACCTTAAAGAATCCAGTTTTGCTGCTCATCAGTCTTGGAAAGAGTCATAAAGCCATTTTCAAACAGTTTGGCGTCCATCATTATACAGTGAGAACAATTATTCACAAGTGGAAAACATTCAAGACGTCTGATAATCTTCCCAGGGCTGGAGATCCCAGTAAAATCACCCTAAGGTTACATTACACAATGCTCAGAGAAACTGGAAAAACATGACAGCACAATTAGACAGGATGGTTTATTTGATGGGTTGCCAGGAGAAAAGCCTCTTTCCTCTGAAACCAAACACTGCCTTTCAGGACAAACACTTCATACTAACTGTCAAACACGGTAGTGGAGGGGGAATGATTTCCGCTTGTTTTGCAACCATGGTTACCGGGCACTTTGTAGTCACCGACCACATAGACCAAATTCCTCTACAACGACGTGAAAGACTGATACAGTCATGCAAAAATAATTACTTCAAGTTGTTACTGCAAAAGTTGGCTCAACAAGGTACTGAATCATGGGGTGTACTTATTGTATTATGTACTTATTGCGTTGTTTGCCAGTAAAGTAGGCCTAACCCTAACCCTATGCAAGACTGAGCAGGCCTTAGTTATATCACTGGTCATGTCTGGGTACTCTGAATCTTAATTTTTGTCCGGTTTGTTTGTTTGTTTGTTTGTTTGGTATGTCATGCATTGCATTTACCTCATTTTAAGAAATCAATACATACAGTAAAGTTCACAGACAAGTGAGCTAATGTCTCTGTAGTGACCCCGACTTCTAATGCAGACGCAATCCATGTATACAAGGACACTGAGGTGACCGTGTCAAAGTCCATTCGTGTTGATGTTGTGGCTCAGAGCGACAGAACATTGAACTTTACTTGCTGTTATCAGGGAAGACTGGCCTTTAATAACACCATGACATTTAACCCAGTTTGGTGATGTCACTGTGTATACGTTGGCAGTGCATCTACCTGCCCATATCCACGTATCGCCACCAAAAACAGGCTTGAACGATCTTGCGTTGTGTACGTGCACAGTTACAAAAGTTGCCCAGAGCAGATAAGCATCCTCATCTATATCTGGCCAGTCTCCCCTTAAAGATCATTTCTGGATCTCCTTCACTGCATCGCAACAGTGACAGCGACCTGATCTAGCCCCCCGACCCTGGAAGAAACAGGAGAGATGGATTGATAGATGGGTGGATGGCAAGGAAACAAAGCTGTAGTGAGATAAATCTGGTATGTAGGTCCACTGGACACAACGATTATGTTATTATGGTAAACAAACTCTGAGCTGGCAAACATTGGTGCGCAGTTTCCACAATGGCACATGACTGATGTCAGGTCTTTTGCACTGAATGCTCTGCCTTGGATGCCTTATGATGTTACAGCAGAGCCTAGCACTAACAGAGTGACCCTCAG